GATATATAAGCCAGATGGCGGAGTTCACGGGGCACGTACTTGGATGAGTTAGTGCGGAAAACATACGCCAGTGGCTTATGGTCAGTCAGCACGTAAAACGAGCATCCTTCCAGGAAATGCCGAAAGTGCTGTATTGCAGCGTAGATGGCTAGTAGTTCCCGGCCAAAGACGCTGTAGCGGGTCTCAGCAGGAAGTAGCTTCCGAGAGTAAAACGACAAGGGTCTCCACTCGGAGTTAATGCACTGCTGTAAGACGGCTCCGACGGCCACGCTGGATGCGTCCACCATCAACCGAGTAGGGGCGTTGCTGCGTGGATGAATAAGAAGCACGGCGTTAGCGACCGCTTGGTTAGCAGCAGCAAAGGCGGCCTGGGCCTCTGACGACCAAGGAATTGCGGAGGACGGGCCGGCGGTCGACCGAAGGAGGTCGGTGAGCGGTCGTAGCAGTTCGGCACAGTGTGGTATGAAGCGCCTGGAAAAATTCACAAGCCCCAGGAATTGGCGTAATTGGCGCAGTGTTGTAGGCTGAGGATAATCCTGAATTGCTTTAACGTGGGACCGGAGAGGGCGTATTCCTTTGGATGATATGTGATGGCCCAAGAACTCGAGCTCAGATGCGCCGAAAGTACACTTAGAGGCGTTCACAACGAGGCCGTACTGCTGAAGACGTTGGAACAGAGCGCGTAGATGGTGCTCATGATCTTCAGGTGTGCGGCTGGCGATGAGGACATCGTCAAGGTACGCAAACACAGTAGAAAGACCCCGTGTGACCTCAGAAATGAACCGCTGGAAAGTTTGAGCCGAATTGCGGAGTCCAAAAGACATCCGCCACGTGAAAGGAGCTGACAACACCGCCGCAGATGCCCTTTCTCGTATAGCCGTGGTTGACTCTCCACCGCCAACCATCGACTGGGCCTCATTCTCCTCGGCCCAGCAGGATGATAGAGAGCTTGCCGCTTTTCGGGAGAACCCCCGTTCTCTCCGACTACGCCTGGTGCCTCATCCATTATCATCTGAGCGCTTGTGGTGCGATGTCTCAGCTGACCTTCCCCGCCCTTTCGTTCCCGCTTCATTACGACGCACCGTTTTCCACTCCTTACACGACATCTGTCACCCTGGCATTCGGGCTACTCAGCGTCTTCTCACCCAGCGCTATGTCTGGCCCGGAATCAATGGTGATGTGCGCGCTTGGACGCGCATGTGCCTGCCCTGCCAGATGACAAAGGTCTCCCGTCATACTAAGACGCCGCCCCAACCTTTCCTTCCACCCGGCCGTCGTTTCGACCATGTTCATCTAGACATTGTGGGCCCTCTACCAGTGTCTCAAGGGTACCGTTATATATTGACCATGGTCGATGGCTTCACACGTTGGCCAGAGGCTGTTCCCATTCAAGATATCACAGCCGAGACAGTTGCCCGCGTTTTCATTTCTACGTGGGTATCCCGTTTTGGCTGTCCTGGCACCGTGACAACAGACCGTGGACGTCAGTTTGAGTCCTCGCTGTTTACTTGCCTTAATCGCATCCTCGGAGCCAGACATTGCCGTACCACGGCTTATCATCCCTGCGCCAACGGCATGGTGGAACGCCTTCACCGACAACTGAAGACCGCCTTGACTACCCGCCTCAATAGAGCCACCTGGGTTGATGCCTTGCCACTGGTGCTCTTAGGTTTACGAGCTGTCATCCGGGCAGACCTGCAGTGCTCAACAGCAGAGCTGGTGTATGGCACTTCTCTACGGCTTCCGGGAGACTTCTTCACGTCAACGAAGCTACCAGACCAGCCACAGCAATTCCTACAGCGCCTCCTCGACTGCGTTCAAGACCTCCGGCCCACTCCACCCAGACCTTCCGAACACAAGACCATATTCGTCCACCCTGATCTGGCCACTGCAACACATGTTTTCGTGCGCCACGACGCGGTCAGACCACCTTTAACACCAGCCTACGACGGATCATTCCGCATCCTTCACCGCACCGCCAAAACTGCCACTCTACTTCAGAACGGCCGTGAAGAGACAGTCAGCTTGGACCGACTCAAGCCGGCGTACCTGGAGACCGCCCTAGAAAGCCTCTCATCTACGACTGATCTTCCGTTGGAACACCACAAACGGCATGTCACATTCCGACTTCCAGTCTACACGGGGGGCCATGTAGCGCCCTCGTTCGGGCGGCGCGCAAACCGGAGAGCGCGCGATGGCGACAGAGGAAAATAAAGAAGGCGCTAGGCCGTGGCACTTGAAGCCACGGCTCGCGTTCCTGGCTGGCATCGGTTATCGTTCAGGCGTGTCTTTCTTTCGCTCCTGTGGCATAAGCCTACAAGGGTATAAATTGGCAGCAGCAAGCACAGGACCGGGTTAACCGGCGAAACATGGGAGAGGCCTTTGTCCTGCAGTGGACGTAGTCAGGTTGATGATGATGATGGTGATGATATAGCATGTGAAAAAGGGAGTACTGATGTTAGTTAGGATTACTGAACCGCTGCTTGATTATTTTGTTGTGGTTTGTATGAACAGACCTGATGGGGGGCTCACCTATGTATTTTTCATGTAGTATTTCGTAGTGACCATGATACAGCTGATAAAAAATTTCAAGCCAGATACAGTTCTGCAATGAGCTAGTTTTTTTTCAATTTGGCGCGGTCGTGAAGAACTGACACACTGGAAAAACGCAAGTATGTGGTGTATATATACTTTGAGGCTACGTTTTGCACTCTTTCTTCTTTTCTGATCAAGAACTTTTTTGCGGGCTCCATATCAGATTCGCATATTCTAATTTCGGACTGACGAGAACTTTATTTACTTTATTTCATTTGATTCTATAGACGACGCGCTGGTTGCTATCACCCTGGAACTTTATGCAGAACATCACGGCAACGGCGATGGCAAGCATGCGTTTGAATGGCCCGTATGGCTCCTATAGGTACGAATGCATAGTCGAAAAGGCGCACTGTTGAGTACACTGGCATTGGCCACCCACAGGCCAATACTACTAGGAAAATAATGCGACCCAGAAGACCTACGATAACGTTTCACGCCACATTAGTGGGCTATTCTCTTTTACATTATCATAAAAAATGTCCCCAAAGGGTAAGAAGGAACAAATGGGTTCTTTAAGTTTGCTTGCCACACCGACCCCAGCATTAGCATTAGCGATAATACTTGACGACTGACCACCAAGCTTAAAGTAGCTTTTGGGCCCGTGGCCCACAAGGAGTTTACAGATAAGCCCTTGTGAAGCCCTGAAACTTTTTCTTGAAAACAGCGGCATTCTTATACGTTATTAGCACGTTTAGGCTTGTTTGTTTAAGTGTCACTATCTAGATTTATTTGTCTGTTGAATAACACTTTCCTGATTAAGGTATGCAACAATTGCTATTCAATTCATTTATGATCACCGTGTGTAACAAATATATGATTGTTGAATATGTTGTATTGGCTGTTAAGCTATCTTGACTGTTATGCTCAGATCTATATTGTATGTACTGTGGACTCATTAGGGTTAAAAGTTTCGACCCTACGTGCTTTGTATTAGGCTTCTCTGTGGGCTAATGATTAGCAGGCGCCTTATTTTTACGTTAACATTTTCTTACATCATGTCAATAAAAAAATTCCGCAATCTCCCACTAAAGCGAACCAGGCCTGTAAACACTAGTACTTCCAGGCCTGCGTTTCCTAGAGGAGAGATGGGGAGACTATAGAAGAGCAGACATAGGAGACGGGGACGCGCATGCGCTGTAGGGGTGTGAACACGCGGTACAGGAGAGAGCGGTGGAGTGTGGGAGAGGAGAAGGAGAGAGGAAAAAGAACGCGCGTGCGCAGTAAAGGTGGTCACGCCGCACATCAGATTTACCTCCGCCATAATATGCTTCGCATCTTAGAAAAGGACCTCAGCTTTGAGCAACCTAAGATGCCTGGTCATCGAGTGTGATGTGCTCTGGTTTGTTTGTACAGCCGCACACCAAGACCAACATGTAAACGGGGTGCCAACAGAGCAACACCCTCAATGTTTTGTCTCCCTTTTTTTGTCACTATTGTCTCAGCATCGCAGCTTGTGCGCACGCCATTCGAGGCGAAGGTTTTACAAATGAGGAATTTATGGGGACGTTTTTCAAACAGAAACGTTGTAGTTGTTGAGCAGGTGGAACTTCAATTAAACTGTATGAATTGGGATCGCGGTATGTATAGAACGTGTCCTAGAGAGTGTATTTAGTTAAACAATGCCTTGAGCGTACGTTGCGCGTCCATTGGTGAGAAGTGGATTCATACCAGCCTTTATTACTCGAGAAATAAATTGTTCACGTTGAACCCAAAAAGTATTACTATAGAGAAATAAATAGTTCTGAGTGAGTACCAGTCGTGATTATGTGTTTCATTGTATTTCAGTGGGATAGGGCTTTTGGCACTGAATTGCCTATAAATTTCCGACCAATGGTGTAATAATACTTTCAAACAAAAATAGCTTTGTCAAAACATAGCAAAATGCTAAAGCATAGCGGAGAGCTACAAGGTTGCAAAACATTTACGTTCTGCAGTATCACACAAGAATGGCCACTTGTGCAGCAGGTTTACGAAATTAGTTTTAATTTGTTACCACGAAAAAAAAAACACCATAATGCGGCCTTAACAACGAAGGGGGACATTTTATATACTGCTTCGCGTTCTATGGCATATGCAGTATTCGTTAAAGAAAGTGATGCTTTAACACTCGATTTCGTTCATATAGAAAATAAATTTTGTCGCGAGGGTGACTTTTTAAAGAACGCTCAAGAGCACTGTGCCCACCTACTATGAGAGTGGTTTCAATACATTGAACCCCAAGAATAATATAAGTTATAGCTGTTCGGCAAGAGATTTGACGATCACCATGAAAGAAAGTGCTGCGCAACACGTTCAAACAGCGAGTAGAAGAACAGAAAAATCCGAGCTCTCTACCAGTGTCATGACTACCTCACCCAACTGATTTTGCTTCAGAGTGATAAGAAGATGAGGTACATACTTACACTTCCAACGTACGTTTTCCCAATATACACAGCTGCATAGGCTGCACTGAAAGGCAAAATGAAATCCCAGACATTTTCACGCACGCTCAATAGTTCAAGAGTTCACTCATTCTACACTAAATAAAGCATTGTACATAATGTAGAATGGCTGAACATATAAAAATGATTTCTTGCAGCTGAATTTTTACAGATATACATAGAATGACCTTGACTCCCTGCTTCGTTTCCTTAATGCGTCAATATTTGGGACTCAAAAAAAAAACTTGATGGGTGCTTCATCCTCGCATTAAAAATCAAAACATGAGGGCGTGATCGAGTACGTGACTCCATCCATGCGCCAAAAGAAAGAACCTGTTTGCACGTAGCATTGCACGTTTCATCTTAAGTTTCATGCTAAAGTTTCACGCTCGTTTCATGCTAACATTGCACGTTCCATTCTTACTGAATGCACAGTGGCCAAGTACCCACAACGCCATAGTTTTTCTAAAACTTCTCAAAGTACCCACTACATGTCCGTATGGCGTTATGCGCATCTGTAGTATTGGGCAGATTTATTCTGCTGAGTACTGAAAGTTAATAGTCATAAAACTAAAGTAATCTACGAAAGTCTTGGCAGAAAACAGCGCTTTGCGATAGGTGGCGAGACACTGGAAATTGTAAAGGAATATGTCCTTTGAGGACAGGTAGAAACCACGGAACGAGATCATGAAAGTGAAATAACTAGAAGAATAAAGACAGGGTGGGGCACATTCGGCAAGCATTCTCAAACCATGAATGGTAGTCTCGCTATTCGTCGACAGGAAGGCACATAACGGCTGCATCTTGCCACTTATTACTGGTGGAGGAGGTAACTGAGGGCTTACGAAAAGGGTTCAGTTAAAATTGAAGACGACGCAGCGAGCGATGGAAAGAGAAATGAAAGGTGTAACCCTAAGGGACAAGAACACAGCAGAGTGGGTCAGCGAACGAACCGCGGTTAAGGATATAATACTTGAAATCGGAAAAGAGAAATGAATAAGGGCTGGGTACGTAGCGTGTAGCACGATATTTACGGCTCAGTAACGGTAACTGTTTGGATTCACAGAGGTGGCGAACGTGCGAGGGAAAGATAAAAAGCTAGGTGAGCTGGTCAGGATAAAAAGTTTACAGGTATAACGTGGGAACAGAAAGGAAAATACAGGGTGTATGGGAATGCCCTTTCTCTGCAGTGGGGGTAGTCAGTCTAATTATTATCATGCTTTTGAAGTTCACATGTTTTCACACACGGTGTGGTTTTAAGAACCTACCTAAAAAGTAATATTTCATGCGTTAAGCAGACTCCGTGCACTACAAAACCTTACAACACCTTCTATTGCAGCGAAAGCTGTTGAGATGACAACAAGGGCCCATTCTGGCGCCATAATTATCCGTCGTTGTCACCGATGTCAATAACCATCATTACGCGAAATCGCAAAGAAATGAACTGAATATAAAATACCCAGAACATACAGAAATGAAACCCTCTACGTGGCAGCTTATTATACTCTAGCATTGAGCTACGTGGTGCTTGAAGCGACGTGGCAAACAGACCTTACGCAGCCTTCATGTCCGGCAAGTAATCACATCAAGATGTGTAATGAAGTGTTTTACAGTAGCAAAACATGAAACAAGTGTCACACAATGCGAGTCGCATAACGAGTGGGTCAGTGAATGCTGCAACATATTACAAAATCCTCAGCAGTAAGTCTTTATTGTCGTCAGCCAAAGCATAAACGAAGTGCGCAAATTGCCCTGAGTGTGTATCGGGCACCAAGCTTTTCTGAAGAATGATGGCATAACGAGAGCCTCCCGACTACCCACTACACAAACCTTTTGATGATTTATGGCATACTGGGTAACTTGCAAGTGTACCTGTAGTATTTGCCCCAAGAATGTTTACAAAATGACAATAATAAGTCCGTTATTCCGGAATTTACTTTGACCGCGCAGGACTGGCAGTTTTCGTCATGGAGCCCTTACAACAACTGCCATGGCTCCATGATAAAACACCTGGTTGTCATGCAAAAGGCACGGGTCGAATTGCCACCCCAACCAAACTATTTTCTTATAAACTTTAAAGCATCCATTTCAACATTTTTCTTCCAGGACAACGCCAATTTTATTCTTCCAACTAACGAAGGCGCCACTCGTTGCGGAATTTCGGCGAAACGAGCTCGCTCTCGCGCCGATAGAAAGAACCATGATGTGTACTTTCTTAGAGCGTTGAATGAGATGGGATGGCGATATCCATTTTGTAAATATATTTTGCTCATAACTATAGCAAGAAACTTCTTTTTCTTGTATTTTCCACATTAATTCATTTAGACAACGTTGAAATTAAGCTAGAGGATGCAGCCAAAAAAAATATAGCCTGAATGGTACCTGCATGCCACGCATACAGGATCATTAGGTTAATTCTTCAGCTAAGCCGCTTTATTGCCTTCGCAACCTGATGTTTGATATATGGTATTCTACTTTTATTATCTTTTTGCTGGGGAAGAACGCGAGTTTCCCAATATATGAATAGGACAGAACGTTTGTTTCTCTCATTTCCTTACCTTTAACCGTCCACTTTCGATCGGTAAGTACGCTGTATAACTTTCGTCAGTCTTGCCTTCTGAGCTTTGAACGACTTCTCTCTTGCCAATATGTGTATGACCACACAAACTGGCGCTCAAATATTTCTGGTGGTGCTTATCCTGTGTTTCATTGCGAGGCTTCCATTCCTAAGACCTGGATATACCCCGCACTATGTACAATATGTGATGCACAAATCAATAAAATACGATAAATAATACTTTGATGCACCGTACGTTTTTATTGTAGTCTGTTAGGTTATGCCTTCTTCATCGCAAACACGGCAACAAGATCTTCTCTTTGCATGCACAAAACTCTATCAGAACGCGTAGTTTTTGCATAAGCTGGGTCCAATAAGAACGAACGCGAGGTCCTGGTCCCTATTCGAGGTTCACTTGCTCCGCCGCCGTGTTCTAATGGCTAAGGTACTCAACTGCTCACCCGCAGGTCGCGGGATCAAATCACGGCCACGGCGGCTGCATTTCCGATGGAGGCGGGAATGTTGTAGTCCCGTGTGCTCAGATTTGGGTGCACGTTAAAGAACCCCAGGTGGTCAAAGTTTCCGGAGCCTTTCACTAAGGCGTCTCTCATATTCATACGGTGGTTTTGGGACGTTACACCCCTCATATCAATCAATTAGGTTCACCTAAAGTTTACTCTGAGGACAGATTTTAGGCCCAGGGCAGTTATTTCATGGTCATTTTTTGGTGAAAGGAATTTGTTTCGTGATACAGAAATATAAATTTTTTTTACAGAGGACGCCTTAGCGCCTAATTAACTGTTTTCCTAATGTTCAGCCTATCTTGGAAAAAAGGGTTATTGAACACAATATGTGTTGCCATTATTGAACAAGAGAATTTCAACGTTATGAGCATTTATTTTTCTTTTTTCATTCCGAAGCTCTTATGAGGAGAAAAAACAAGAACATAGGTAGCAGTAGAAAATTTCAATATTTTCCAAATATTTAGCGGCACACAGGTTAAACTGAGTATAATAAAAGTTGGTACGTAACGACTTTGCTGTACAGTGAGTCGTCGAAAATAAACTTCGTGGTTTTACGCGCACTGCACTAGTTAAAATTGGGATCAAATATAATTGGTTTGCCAGTAATCCCGTAGCTTGATCCTAAACTAGAGCGACCTTTTTTTTTAGTTTCTTTCATAATGTCTTGGACTGGAGTGAGTCAAATACGTTGTCTACCATTCTGTATTTTCGGTTGCATTTTCTATGGAGGCGAAAATGCTGTTGGCCCGTGTGCTCAGATTTGGTTCCACGTTAAAGAACTCCAGGTGGACAAAATTTTCGGAGGCCTCCGCTGCGGTGTCTCTCATAATCATATGGTGGTTTTGGTACGTTAAACCCCCCATATCAATCAATCAAATCAACATTTTGTATATGAAAAAAAACTCTAAACCATGTGTGGTGCTAAGAACATATAGCGCATCCATGTGGACGAACTCAGCCCATTGGTCACACCATTATATATGTGTCGGAAATCGGATACAATATTTCTGAAGTTACTGTATGCTGCATATTCATGAAGCAGTTGCTTGAAAAACTATGCTGCCAGATTGCATTGTGCCGCAAGCTTTCCCTCGCTGTCTTGTGATCAAATGCTCAACAGTCTTTGGAAGACAATCTGGGGTCCGTCACTTACCGCGAATGTTACACACATTTTGTAGGTGAAGAATTTCAGTTTGACGGTAAGCGTCTCAGCATAAACGTTATACCGAATACCGTAGCCGTAAACGTGAAAGGCCAGATAGCTGATGCCATACGGCGGGATCATAATGAACGAGGCAAACAAGGAATTGATTTTGCAGAAACGTAATACCTTCCACTTCTCAGGTGGTGTGAAGTAGAACCAGTACCCTAATGTCGACTTAGTTGACTTCAGAAACGTTTATAACAAAGGAGACTAGATACAAACAAGCAAACCTGGACGCAATCATGGTTCCACAAAGCATCGCAAAATGTCCCTACGATCGACAAATAACTTGGTATGTTGTGAACCCCTTTGCGTGCACTGGAATGCCTGACAAAATAGATATCTCTGAATGCTTCTCCGCTTGTGTGCGACTTCCACTTATGTGTGGTCGGGCGTAGTCTTACCTTTCATGCGGTGTATTCACTGGCACTCCCGACGCTCCAGGCGAATCGGAAAACAAGTCGGGAGAGTTCCTATCCGTGAATCCCCTCTGTGCGTTTTTTTCACGAGGTGGTGACAGTCTGAGTCTGTTGAGGATATTCGCGATAGGTGGGTACGTGGTGCCATCTGCTAGGTAGCTCTGCAGAAAAAAAGTGTAAAGTTTCCTTCATGTTTGAGACTATATAGACTATTATATATAAGGAATATCATATTTTATCTTCACTAAATTACACATGTCAAGAATTCACGATGCAACAAGTGCCTGAATTACGGAACGAAGTTGGGATCTCGTCAACTGTGTAACACCTTCTCACAATTTTCTTGGTATGTGGTGTTCGCTGTACATTCTAATAAAAGCTTTTCAAGATATAGTCACAATTATTTTTCCATGCTAGTTTTTAAATGACATTGATATGTGCAGTAAGCTTAGTACCACTGCATGAAAATTGAAACGTGAGCCTAAATAAATTGCGCGTACGGGTTGCTAAAAAGCATTACAACACTTAAGCATATATTTGAAGGACAAGCAGTACATACCTGCGGACACTTTTTGCTGTTATTTTTTTTTGTACTTGCGGTGTTCAGCCCTATAAGATTATTCGTATTTGCAAATTTTGTCACTTTGGTAATTTACAAATCAATTCTTTACCAGTACGTCTCGATGCATCAGTTGATACCGTAAAGAAAATAACAACATATTGTCACGGGCTAAGTAGATGCCTGAGGATGACGACGACGAAGTGCTGAACGGGAACGTGCTCGGACTGCAGCAGCGTCGTACGCATTAGCTCGCCATTATATTCGCCAGTACACATTTGTTCACCAGTGTATACTTTATTCCCCGTAACATCATTGGTGGAAGGTGCGGGGTACCACTTGCTATACAACCCAACGAGCTGGATCTTCGCAGCGGACGGCGCATTGCAGCTACCACGATGACTGACCAGGCTACTCAATGTCAACAAGATCCGTCAGCCCCGCAGCCGATCGTTGTGGTGCAACCTCGTGACCCAGGTCCATTCAACGGCACAAGTGGCATAGACGTCGATGACTGGCTGGTTCAATATGAGCGCGTCAGCAGCAGCAACCATTGGGGTCCGACGCTTATGTTGGCGAACATCATCTTCTACTTGCATGGCACGGCAAAACTCTGGTACGAGACACATCAAGAAGAGTTGACTAGCTGGGACGTCTGTAAGCAGAAATTGCGCTATCTATTTGGGAAACCCATCGGACGTCAAGTGGCCGCAAAGAAAGAGCTTGCGACTCGTGCCCAGACATCCACAGAGCCGTACATCGCGTACATCCAGGACGTGTTGGCTTTGTGCCGCAAGGTTGACAAGGACATGCTCGACGAGGACAAAGTCGGACACATCCTGAAGGGAATTGCGGATGACACCTTCAATTTTCTCCTGTGCAAGGACTGCTCGACGGTGGAGTCGGTCATCGAAGCAAGTCGTCGCTTCGAACAGGCAAAAAGTAGGCGCATAGTTCACCGATTTGACCGCCTTCCCAACACGGCGGCTACGTCCTCTTGCGAAGATTTGCCCACACTACACCAACCACCAGCGCCAGAAAACGTCACCAGAATAGTCCGTCGGGAACTCGAGGCTATGGCTTCCGCTATGTCTAGTGTCAGCGCGCCAGGACACAACCTCGGTGCTGTTTCAATGATACAGGCTGTGGTTCGCCAAGAGATCGCGAATATGGGCATTTCGCCACCTCATCAAAATGCCCCTACTACTTCCAGCTCGGCTCCAGTCGTTGCGGCTGCCACTCCGAACCGCACGTTCGCGCCACGACGAAACCCAGCTGAATGGCGCACTCATGATGATCGGCCCATATGTTTCACGTGCCATCGGATAGGACACATCGCTCGCCATTGCCGCAGCCGGTGGACCTCATCACCTCGACCGAGCTTCTATGATTGGCGGCCTCGCTCTGAACGTGCACCTTATGCCCCGTCCTACCGTGCTGAGACAGGTGCAGAGCATAATCCAGAACGTCGGACCAGCCGCTCGCCATCGCCCGTGCGTCGTCAGTCCCGCTCGCCCCAACCCCGCTGTTCTCGGTCTCCCTACGACCGTCGCTCGGAAAACTAGCCGGTGCAGCCCCCGGAGGTGACGCTGCATACACGACTTGGACTGCAAATCCTCTGATTACTCCCGACCAGCGGTGCAACCTCCTTACAATTCTCGTTGACGGTTTACCTATAACTGCTCTTATTGATACCGGTGCACAAATATCTGTGATGAGCTGAGACCTCCGCCGCCGCCTCCAAAAAGTTCTGACGCCTGCGATTGCACCTACTGTTCGTACAGCGGATGGGAGTACTCCTGCTGTGCTTGGAATGTGCACTGCGCGATTAACAATTTCTGAGCATCAAACTTCAGTTCTGTTCGCTGTACTGGAAAATTGCCTCCATGACCTAATCCTTGGACTCGACTTTCTGACTTCACACGCTGCGCTTATTGACTGTTCCAAAGGTCTTCTTCAGCTTGAACTACCATCCTTTTCGGAGACCGTCTCTACCAGCCCACTTCGTCTACGCTCTGTCGATTTCCTTAGACTTCCGCCGCAAGCCGCAGTCCAAGTCCAACTCTCGCAATATCCTGCAGTACCCGATGGTGATTATGTTGCTGCCCCGATTTCTGACGTCGCCATGACACGTAATGTTGCAATCCCCAACACGGTGGTTACCGTAAAGGACAACCGAACTTCGTTTCCCGTCCTCAATTTCGGCCTCTCAGCGCAAGTTATTCCTCGCGGCATGTCACTTGCGCATCTTACACCACTGGCCGACCACACAGTTTCCGCTCTAACCACCAATTCGCCACCCGATTTTTCATCAACATCGTTCTCGTCACGTTCCTGTTCCGACCTTTTCAAGCCAATGCTATCTGACAAGCTCACCTCTGAACAAGTCTCTGCTTTCTGCCGTGTGCTTGCTTCTTATCAGGATATCTTTGACTTCGGCGACCGTAATTTGGGCCAGACATCTGTGGTAACCCATCGCATCGACACCGGTGACGCTCGACCCATTCGCCGACGACCCTACCGTGTGTCAGCCCCGGAGCGTGCTATTATACAGCGAGAAGTCGATAAAATGCTTGATAAGGGCATAATCGAACCCTCATCTTGTCCCTGGTCCTCACCTGTTGTACTTGTTAAAAAGAAGGACAATAGCTGGAGATTCTGTGTTGATTACCGCCATCTCAACCATATTACCAAGAAAGATGTCTATCCCCTACCACGCATAGATGATGCACTCGATTGCTTGCACGGTGCCAAATATTTCTCTTCAATAGACCTTCGCTCAGGCTACTGGCAGATCGCTGTGGACGACAAAGACAGAGAGAAGACAGCCTTCGTGACTCCAGATGGACTTTATCAGTTCAAGATGATGCCTTTTGGATTATGCAATGCCCCCGCGACATTTGAGCGCACGATGGACTCTCTCCTTCGAGGCATGAAGTGGACCATCTGCCTCTGCTATCTTGACGACGTTATTGTTTTTTCGACTACTTTCGACGACCATCTTACCCGTCTGTCCGCAGTGCTTGATGTTTTTCGACGTGCCAACTTGCAACTTAACTCGTCCAAATGCCGCTTTGGGCAACGCCAAATCTGCGTACTCGGCCATCTTGTTAACGCTGCGGGCGTTCAACCAGACCCTGCGAAAGTCCGAGCAGTTCGCGACTTCCCCACACCCCGCTCAGCCAAGGACGTCCGAAGTTTTCTGGGACTGTGCTCCTATTTCCGTCGTTTTGTCGAGAAGTTCGCTGAAGTAGCCCGTCCTCTAACCTGCCTCCTCAAAACGGATGTCGCATTCACCTGGGGCCAACAGCAAGCAAACGCCTTCTCGTCGCTCGTTGATATTCTCACCAATCCAACAGTCCTAGCACACTTCGACCCATCTGCCGCCACGGAGCTTCGTACTGACGCCAGTGGCCACGGCATAGGCGCAGTGCTCGCGAAGCGGCAACAAGGCATGCACCGCGTCGTCGCGTATGCAAGCCGACTGTTGTCGCGCTCGGAACAAAATTATTCCATCACAGAACGCGAGTGCTTAGCTCTCGTCTGGGCCATTGCGAAATTCCGACCGCACCTGTATGGCCGACCATTCTCAGTTATTACGGACCACCATGCGCTTTGCTGGCTCTCCTCACTCAAGGACCCTACGGGACGCCTTGGTCGCTGGGCGCTGCGCTTACAAGAGTACACTTTTTCCGTATCCTATAAATCCGGACAACTTCACAAGGATGCCGACTGCTTGTCCCGTTACCCAGTCGATCCCCCTGACACGAGGGAAGATGAGCAAGAGGCCCTCGTTCTTTCAATTACCGACTTCACCGACATAGCTGCTGAACAACGCCGCGACCCCTCTTTGCGTGCTATTATCAATGGTCTGCACTCTCCCCACCCTGACCACTCCTTACAGCTGTTCGTTCTTCACAACGACATCTTGCACCGCTACAACACCCACCCTGATGGTGCTGAGCTTTTACTCGTTGTTCCTGTGCATCTTCGCTCAGACGTTTTGGCCCAGCTGCATGATGCCCCCTCCGCTGGACACCTAGGGGTGTCACGCACGTATGACCGCATTCGCCGCCGATTCTTTTGGCCTGGCCTCTACCGTTCTGTGCGACAGTACGTTGCGGCATGCGACCTCTGCCAGCGCCGCAAGACACCTGCTCAGAGACCTGCTGGTACCCTCCAGCCCATTCAAGTACCAGATGAGCCATTTTTCCGAGTCGGCCTCGATCTTCTAGGACCCTTTCCCGTGTCGGCCACCGGTAATAAGTGGATTGCTATTGCTACCGACTACGCAACGCGGTATGCCGTTACACGCGCCCTCCCCACCAGCTGCGCTACTGATGTAGCCGATTTCCTTCTTCATGACATCATTCTGCGTCATGGTGCTCCTCGTCAGCTGATCACCGACCGCGGCAGCTGTTTTCTATCTAAACTAGTCGACGAGCTCCTGCGATCCTGCTCTACCCACCACAAGTTCACTACAGCGTACCATCCACAAACCAACGGCCTCACGGAACGCCTCAACCGTACCTTGACGAATATGTTAGCGATGTACGTCTCCAAGGATCACAAAGATTGGGACATCCACTTACCTTTCGTTAC